TTCACCACCCTCGCCTGCCATCGCCATCATGGGGCTCATTCTATAGTATTCGATTCTGAGACCAGTCGACACAGCCCAACTCCGCCCACTTTTTTCCTCCAAAATTACCGTCGAGCGGGGGTATATACCTACCACGAAACCGCAAACATCCTCTCACTTTCCCTCTCACCCATATTTCCACTGCAACATTTTCTAGGGAGGTAGGGGTATATACACACCGTGAAACGGCAAAATTTAAGCGCGCCAACCAACTGCACCATCACCTCCCTTACTGTAACATTAACGCTAACTCGCGAAATATGACCCCCTTTTCCCCCCCAAATACGACCCCCCCCTCGTTGGACTTTGTCCAACGGACGGTTGACCCTGCCTCTGCCGCCTAAGGCTTAGTCCCGTTTTCAACAAGAAGAAGACTTTTACGCGGTTCGAGATGCATTGCCACCATTACACCCCCGTACCTGCGATAGCGCCCTTTTCGATTCATCACGATCGTGAAGCTCCGACAAACCGTGAAAATAGCGAAAGAATTCGATGATGTACATCCAAAAATGGGAGTTATGAAGAGAACGGAATCGGAGAAGCATATGCACCACACGAATCAATTACTTGGCGGCCAGGGAAGCGAGGAATAGCGCTTCCACACGCAAAGCTTCACGCTCTGAGCAGGACCTTCAAAATTACTTCTCCTCAAAAGCGGTCCGCCCACTAGTTTATTTGGTGATTCGTACGAGCTGCTTTGCCAGCAGCGGCTCAACTAGAGCAACTCGACTGTAGCATGGATTGGCATGCTGTCACCAAACGCGTTACGCTAAACTCGTTCATACGCTCGCTTTCGGCGGTCAACCTGTTCCATGATGAAAACTCAACGGCCAAAAAGGGCCCGTTGCTTTTTCCTCATGCTTTCTCCGCTTTTTCCCACTGGGCGTACTACTGACACCACCCAGTTCTAGAAGCTCTTCTCAATCTATCGGACCACTGCCTGTAAGTAAGCGCAGGAATGACTACACCGATACCGTGTAAAAAGAAGTATATTGGCCACTGCGGGAAAAAACGCTTGTGTCAAATAAACCATGTGTAGAAGCTGCTAAGCTACAACGCTGACGGAAGCGGCGGAGTGCTTTAGTTGTGGATAAAAAAGCATCATTTTGAGAAGAGGGTTCCCCCAGTTCGTTCGCCTAACCGAGGCTCGTTGGAGTTGTCCATGTTCAACCTTTTAAACTTGGCGTAATAACACGAGGTCATTCTTGTCCAGTCTCTTGATTCACATTAGCTATGCTTTCGGCCTCTTCCCTTTCCGAGCCTCAAATCTCCTGTCCTCTGTCTTAGCGGCGCAATTCGGGTCTCTGACGATACGAAGCCGAAATACTACGCCTAACAACGTGTTCAATTTTGAAGAGCATCCTCTCGACAAAAGAGCTGAGTTGGAATGAAATGGTGCCCCGGTAGCGTAACTGGTAGCGCACTTGCCCGGTAAAGCGAGAGGTGCGGGTTCGAGTCCCGTCCTGGGGCGAAAGTTTTGTTCACAACCCAGCATTCTTGTGAAACAATCCTAGTGTTCATTCATTTTTATTCGTGAGATCTTGAAGAGCCTTTATTGCGATCAACTCACTGTCTGGATTCAGCCAACGGGAAGTGATCTAGCGAAATCTTGTATTCGCGAGAGTTTGACGACAATCAAGAAGATTCGAAGTTTGAGAAGAATTCTTTAACAGAGAGTTCATTCACACCTTGACTGTGCGGACGGGCTTCTCCTCAGATTGCGCAGCACACCAATCTGCATTGACTGCTACATGGAAACTCAACATCCTTGCTGTGAATGTACGATGCTGAACTTTTTCCGCTTTACTCTTCAAATTGTGATCGCAGTAAAAGATCCTCAAGACGATCTAAGAGGATTATGTGGTTCATTTCAGCTTGTCACCTTCCACTTCGTGAAACCTGTGTGACCGCAATGAGGAAGAAATACCATCACGAGTGCTTTCGGTGCTACAGATGTCGTGGAGCAATGCCAAGTTCTCACAAGAACCCATTCAACCGTATACTGCTAACGAGTGTGAAGAATCAGATTCAACGATGGCTCAAGTACTTACATGTTGAACGGAAACCTTCGATGAAGACTGCTACTACACCGTAAAATGGGTTAGAAGAAGCACCGACAGCAGATGAAAAAATAGCTGACTAAATGAACAAGGCATCTCAAGAATATATCAATCCAGAATTAATGAACAGATTCTGTTAGAAAATTTCTCGGTACATCGAAGCTCAAGCGCAATTATACTTTTTCCTTATAAACAGTACCTACTTAAATGAATATCGAAAAAGTATACTCCTCCTTTCAAAAAACGAGAAAGAGCGATCGGCGTCGGTGCAGACCATACACCACAAGTGACGACGGCCTCCACAAAATGTAAATGTTTTCTGCCAATGAAATGATTAGCCTGTTGCAGTTGTATTCTATCAGTTGTCACTAATTACAACTATCATTTACCAAAAATCAGCTATCACTATGAAACACTAACCAGATTCAATTAGAGGCTGTCGTCACTTGTGATGTATAATCTGCACCTGACGCTCCTCTCGTTTTGAAAAGGAGAGTAATCTTCCGCAAATGACAAAGATAAGCGTGCAATCCGCAGACTTTCTGTAAAAATGAGCCGCAAACTAAATGATAGGATCGACGTTCAAAGCAGATTAGTAAAACAAAAGGAATTTCGCAAATGTAATTCACAGCTTCAGCTATTGATTAATTCATTTCTCAGTAGTGCGCTCTGCTAACTAAACACGAACCTACACTTTTTATTGAGAGGCCTTCCAAAGAGTACAGCAACTTTAAACAAGGTTTCTCTAATTTTTCATCAGTATTCTTGTTCAAGCACTACTGAGTAGGCTTCATTTTGCAAAGGCAATCCTGTTTCAAACCAACTTCCTTGCTTACAATTAGCGCTATTGTGCAGGCTTAGTGAACCAAGGCTTAATGAAGTGCAAAAATCAAGGCACCTGATAGTTAGTACCTCCTATCTAAAAGATGAGTAGGATAAAACAAGAAACACCTAACTAGCAAGTCTCACTGGAACTCAAGACAACAAACGACAGCGCGCCTCCGCGGTCTTTTTTGGCACTCAAGGCGATGGCATACCTTCCTTAATTGACATTCGCGAAGCTCTAGCACGGCCAGAGCTGGCGCATTTTGCAAAGCGTAGCTGCCATCACCTAACATATGGTACATAGTTAACTTCCGATCGATGAGAATTGGCGGGAGAAGCAATATATTACTTTTCTGCGCAATCGACGTCAAAAAATATTTTAAAGCGAGATGCAGCTTAAAGCGACATATATTTGTCCCATAAAGCTCGTGATTTGCTTGCCTATCTTTCATACCTACATGGTATAGTAAACAGTTAAGAAAACCAGAACGAGTTAGCTGTAAAGATTCTCGAAGCTACTATAAAAAACCTCTGCTAAACTGGCTTATGACCATACGAAGAACCACATCCTTCCAGTTATGTTGTGGTACGAGGTACATGAATAAAAAACTAAACAATTGAGAGATGGCGCATGCGCCACATCTTCTCAACATTGTTTTAGGAAGGAGAGGTAGACGGAACGTCCCAATCACATCACGTACCAAAATTGTATAACATAAGGGTCATATAAACGGCGCATCGTTCTGAGATCAAAAAGCGAGCCTCACTATATAGAAAGAGGACGTACAAATCATCTTTCCCTCTCTTCAGCTTAATGAGCCCAAGATGATGACTCTACCGTGAAATCCACCATGTTACCTGCTCAAACTTTTTAAGGCGACCAAACAGAAACAATTAATGAAGTTCACCCGATTAGCACCAAAATCAATTCGATATTGTGCGTGAGACGATCTTCACCCTCCTTGAATAGCAACACCAAAAATAGTCGATCTTTCGAAGGATCGACTTCCTTTTGATCCTTGTCATTGTAAGGACGATGAGTACGTGACTTGCCGTCAAGATTAGACAACTTATTAGCTAACGTTCTTCTTCTTTTTGTGCTTCCACTTTTTGAGTCTTTTACATAATCTCAAACGAGCATGAAGGAGACGAGATCATCCCAGCAATGTCATCCCATCAATCTTCGTAGCGTACACGCCAATTTCCCATAACCTATACCATCGGAGAAACCGTCACTCCTCTGTCACACATTGACCGTCAAGGGACGGTACTTCGACAATGCATACTATCCTAGAGAACAAAACACTAGTTCTACCCACCACCCTCAGGGAAAACGCAATCAAGGCGAAAGCAGTAGAATGAGTTGTAAGTCCCTAGAAATTCAAGAAATATGAGCAGGGACAAGACTTTTGACGATGAAACTGTGCAGTAGAGCAGAACGTGTGAAGAGCCGCATGTAAGGAAATTTAGAGGCACGTCGCAACAATAATGGTGTGCAACACAAACAAGAGAGAAGAGAAATTGAAGGAGAACACTAAATGAAGCGGTAGGAACACATCACTTGAGAGTGTCAAGCAAAGATCACGAAGAAGCAGCACATAACTTGCTGTAAAGATGACATCTTTACCGAACACCTCGTTTGTCACACCAGCGCCTTCAACAAATTAGCAGATGGATGTGACACCAAATGATACAGGATTCACTTTTGAACAGATTTATAAACTTAACTTTATCACACTATACCTAATTAACCACATTCATGCTAAGAAAACATCGTTTTAATTTACGACATAGCAATGTTACATTTTAAAATTCTTAAACTCACCTCGTTCAGCACGATTTTAGCTTCCTACACGTACACCATAACATTTACAAAATCCTAATTACAACATTCAGCCCTGAACGGTAATCGTACCAGAAACGTGCAGTAGGAACACAACAACGCAGTTGCGCAGGTATAAGGGTACAAAGACGAAATTAATTCAACTTTTTTAGACACCAATGTACAGTTATAAAAATTGATATTCAGAAATAACAGTAACAACTTGCACCAAAGAAATGCCAGTGAGAAAGAGGCTATTTCCCGAATGAGAACTTTATTGGAGGTCGAACGGCTCCACCCTTGTTGATGATGGCAAGTTGTTCATTCTTCTGCAACGCAGTCTTTTCACGGAGTACTTCCTGCCTTTCACGTTCCAATGCACTTCGTTCCGCAAGCATTGCCAGCCGCTCCTCGTTGAACCTACAGAGAAGCAGAATTAGCCTACTCAACGTCTCCACCGCTGTCGCCGTCAATCTGTTCAACCTCAACGCCACGTGTTTATGCGATCTGAGGTCGCCAAATCCGCAATATGGCGATGCGCCCTTCGTCAGCCATCATTGCTGTTCCTGGGAAAAAATGACCAGCGATGCGTTAACGAGCGAATATGCTCGCTTTCATTTGCTGAATGTTATCACCTAGATCTAGATCAAGCCTGGAAGCGTTAATAAAAGCGAGAATAACAAACCTTTTTTCACTCTCATCGGCTTGCCGCACTTTCTCCTCGAGTTCTTTCTCAAGAGCGGCGCACTTTGCCTTGGAGGCTTCTTCTCGCTTGCGTATGGAAGCCATTTCCTCTTCCATTTCGCCAAGTATTTGGGCTCTCAAGCGAGATTCCACCTCCGCTCGTGCTCTTTTTTGGCTTTCCGTCATGGCCTCTTCCAACTTCTTCACCCTCTCGAGGACCTGAAACAGCAATGCTGAAGTGGCCTGTCGTTGCACGTATTGAAGGAAAAACATTCTCTATTAGAAGGTGAATAAAGCACAATCAGCAAATATTAGCAGTCTAGCCGGAAAACAAACTGCTCCCACATCCTATGATCACGATTTCAATTTTGCTGCACCGGCATAGATTTGCAAAACGCTTTCACCGAACCTGTGCGTAAAATAACAGAATACCTGCAAGTAGTCCCAATAAGTTGCGTTGAAACTCGGTCACCATCCATCGACATGGACAACTGTTTCACGATAATTGTATAAAAACAAGGCTCAATCGGTGTGGAAAACGTTGGAGTAGGAAAGGGCACAAGCTACTAGCTTTTAGCAGGCTGAAAAGGCAGCGCCATAGGCAACGATCGTTAGAAGAACGTCGCCTCAGTATATGCGGCGAAGCACACACCTTAATTGTTTCCTCTACCTACGAGCAAACCGACAGCGATTTTCTGGAATTATCAAGCTATCCTAGAACGATAAAGATGATTTGCTGGTCAGTAATTAATTGACAGCTTTATGTCATGTTGGCTATACTACATGTCTGCTCTAGGGCGACTGAGTGGGTATGAAGTATCAGTCTCTACACAGTACAAGACCACAGAATACTACGAAATGGTACTGTATGTAAAAGAAAGACTGGATTTTACCTGTTCAGCAATTCTCTCTTCGAGCCATTCCCGTGCCTCCGTAGATATATTGGAAATATCAAAAGAGCCTGTGAGCTCTCGCTCCACCTCCGAAGACAACACAGGCCTGCAAAGAAATGCAGAAGGAATATGTCAAGTGGTAAAAAATACCTTATAGTCACTACAAAAATGAAAACGTTTCTTGCTTTTGATTGGCAACTGTGTTTTTGTCCGCAGTTCGCCTTGCGGAAATTTCACAAGAATGCTCGGTTGTGAACAAAACTTTCGCCCCAGACGGAACCTGAACCCGCACCTCTTGCTTAACGAATAAGTGCATCCCAAGTTACGCTACCGGGGCACCATTTCACCCACCTCGCTTTTCAAGTTATACTTTACCATGGCTTGTCAACATGTCATAAGTATGATTGCTTCTAAGAGTTTCCTCTGGTATACAGATGAATAAAAAATAAAAGCTCAATTGTTAGAGTGGTGAGGTCTTCCCGCATGCATAACCATATCCACCATTTCTTTTTCTGCCATTGTTGCAGTGTGTGTTTCGAAGGCTAGTGTGTCCTAAGAACTTGATGGTGCGAAAATTAAACAATTACAATGTCATCAATGGTGCTCTAAAATGGCACGTTATTTCGCCAATATTTCGCGGATTTGAGCAAACTTTCATGAGAGATAATTTCTCCTGCCCGCGCCTACCAAATACTGCCCTCATACTGACCAAATGTCAGCCACTTCATGAACACCACGAAATCTCGGGCAGTACCGGTCACCTGAGTAATCGAACAAAAAGACAGCGGCTCATATGTTGCACGTGCACTTACGAAAGCATTTCTAACAGAAAATTATACAGCACTATTGTATAGTTTTCTACGGTCCTTCTTTCCTATCACTTGAAACGTGCCACTAAATCGATTTCATTGAAGACGGAGTATTGTTTGAAGACGAAATTGTTTGCAATCGAACATCACCTGCCCTCCTCCACTTCTGCCAAAAAATAGCAGCAAATTAAAAAAAACACCTCTGAGTTTGTATGTATAGTACTACTACTGCAATACTTCAAAATCTTTTCTTTGTATTCCAACTGTTTCCATTGAGGTGGGAGCACGTATTGGATAAAAGCTTGCTGTTCTGTTTTGCCGAGCACGCTTTATTTGAACAAACATGCTTTTTTTCTGCGTGCCCTGCCATAGCGCAAATATGAGGGTGGTGAGAAACAAAGACACTATCGCAAGGTACGTGGCATTCTCTATGTAATAGTATGTATTGTTCAAATAATAAGTAGCACGAAGAATAGGAGGAAACAGGAACCTAGGAAACACACTGCCCTAACAATGCCCCGTATCTTATGATAGCTCCTAACAAATTTAATAAATAAAGAAAGCTAAATTCAAGTGTGCAACCTAACGCGGCAAGCGACCTAATGCAGCACCAACTCATCCAAACTTATCTGAAAATCCGCGCTTCGACTACGGCCCAGATGCTGAATGTTGGGGTGGGACGGGGATGGGGAAGGTTGGGGAGGTTCGTCGCAGGACCCACTGGGCAACGGCCGCACCTTTGATTTTGCAGCTTTGTTTCCATTCTTTCATCGCTGTTTTTGGATAAAGAAAGGTATTTACGAGAAAATATAATCA